GGATAATGCGCCGGCGGTCACGGTCAACCGTTGGGCGATCGGAGTGTGCGATTTTTGGGGCCGACCTTTTCTAACCCGTCCTTCCTCGGGGGAAGGCATCATCGCTGCTTCAATAAATATGGACATGCTGGTCGCCTGGGAGAAACACCTTACTGCCTTTACACTCCTGTCGCAGAGGACAGTACGACTTTATCCCCAGACCGCCCCGAAGGTGGACCACCTCTGCCGACCATCTGGCGTACCTCAACATTACTGATCATGTGTTCCCACCAGACTCACTCAACGCTCTGAAGGTACCGATGGTCAGACACAGAGTCATCGAAGATATCCCGTACGCAGAGTTCACGTTTCCGACCCATAAAGTAGGATCGAAGCATTATAGACCCTACCCTTCACCGGGAAGCTGATATATACTGTGTAGTCTAGACAAAAAGAGATTGAAATTCAGCGTTTTCTTAAATGTCCGCTGAAGACAGGAGATAACGTTACAGGTTTGACGTGAACGAAAGATGAAGAATACGGTCCAAGAGAAAGGATGGCTCAAATAGAGGGTCAGTGACCTGAGGCGAATATTTTAAGCTTTTCGTAGGGATTACAGAAAGTGACTTACCAACGTGGTTCCCATGAACGGGTAGGCGCGACATATTCGGTGTGTTCCATTTGGTCTTAACCCGCTCTGACCGATAACTTCCACTAAAAAAAACAAATCAATGACTAGGGTTTCAAAACAAAACAAATCGCATTCCATTAACGCTAAATAAATCGCGTAAACCAAGGACTCTGTTGAAGTGCGAACTACTGTGTGACATGAATTAGCTTGACCTAAACGAAGAAGAAACAAGCTAATCCCGAGACTACGACAATGGGATGGTGTGCAAGTCCGGGCTGCAGATTCTGTACGTCGTAGATTGTAAAAGAGTACGCACCCATCGTAACAGCACTATACACGGTGGTTTTCCATTAGTTTCAATCTTAGACAGTCACCTCTTAAATGAATACAGCATTTCTTGAGTGATGGACTGGCAACCCTGACGTACATTTTCTTGGTGACAACGTTTTTTTTAATAATTTTTCCTGCACCTACTTAATTTCTGGCATTTACATTATTAGAACGTTACAGGTGTTCACTGAATTTGTGAAAGTTGACGAGACGCAATGCGCATCTCACGAAACTCCAGGGAGTCTCAAACCCACGACCTTGTGACACAACCATTCGGCCACGAGCGGCTGATCGGCAGTGTGATCAACTCGTCCTTAGACGAGAAATAGCGCCAGTCGTACTTCAGTCACGGAATTCACATCACGTGATGACGCGTTGACTGACTATTCAGGTGGCCACTTCTCAGTGGGAAGTTCCACTCACCTCTTGAGCTATTTATAGGTAGTTGGTAGTGTGAGCAGATTTGGGAATGTCGAACAGTCAGATTTCTTTAGTTGAATAGGGGTGGGGGTAGCCTTAAAATTGTTTGCCACATTATATTGGCTAGGTCGGATGTCATGTTGGTTTCGTGGCTAGAGATACGAGCTGATTGGGCATGAGTATACCTCTAGTAACCCAATAAGTCAGTTCACTGAACTACATATCCCTAAGAATACACGTGGAAAAACCGTCCAGCTGTAGCACCCTTTGGGTGTCCAACTGCCATGCCACCCGAAGGAAGCACGAGGGCTAGGATACTGATAGGTTGGCCAAGCCTAGACAGAAAATGTTTAGATGCATAGGTCGGATTCGAACCACGGACCTTCCGATCAGTAAATTCGCGCTGTAACAACTGAGCCATCTCGTCCCCTACAAGTAACTTGCCCCGAGTCATCCGAATTCAGTTCAATAATTTGATTCCGCCCAACTAAGCAAGCATTTGATGAAACAAGCTGCTGCAGATGCGCATTTACAGACCAATGGAAAGCTCCTGGAGACAGGCGCTAAAATCACACACCAGGCGTCTGGATGTAAAAAGGCTTCTTTGAGGTGAGAGCAACAAAGACAAAAAATAGAAGATCCACACGAACAATGCGGGTTAAAGTGTATCCATTTGAGAGTAAAGTAAAGTAAAAAGGGCAATAAACTTCAGGAAGAACCACGTTCAGTAAGTAATAGGTAACAACGAAAAAGATAAAAGCTGATCTATTGTGTGCTCATAGATGAGAACAGCTAGAGTTGTCCATTGTGGGCTTTTCAAGAGTTCCGGGTTTATGCAATACAATGTCTTGCCAAAGGTAATTAGCATAACTGTATGGCGCGGAAATCTAGTATGAACACTGGGGCTACTTTCTATGACTAGATGACTTAACCGTCTGATAGATGACAAGATACCCCAACACAATAATGAAGGCAATTCAAAGACTAAACTACATTTCGAAGATAGAATCTTCCGGCAAAATCATTACAGAGGTAAAAAAACGTCGGACCCGACACGGACCAAAGAACAGTGTTTGACAGAATAGGTATTACGTAAGAAAGCATTTTTCCAGGTTCTGCTCAAACTGGCAGACTAATGTCGCCGAAAGTCACCAACATGTTAAAATGTTGTTTCAGGAGCGTTATTTGAACAAGCAAAGTAGTTCTTCAGATTTCAATTAACATAGGAAGTAACAAACGAGGGAGCTTTTTCATAAAGGAAACTACTCACAAGGTTGCTGAAAACTCTTCGACAGCCCACGACCAGTTTCACCTTTCTTGGGGCTCATCAGGTAGGCGCAGTCCCCAAGAATGCGTCAGCCTTATGTTCTGCTTGAAACCAAATTGCACCGTTTTCGAGAAATACACTCATTTGCAAATCAATTTGGTTTTCACGAGAGATTTAACTGAATCTCTCGTTTTCAGCAACCTTGTGAGTAGTTTCCTCTATGAAAATATACTGTGATATCTCTAATATCGTGCCAACAGAAACATGAGGCGGCCTGTGTGCAGCACATTCAGGTGTAAAATATCATAAAAGAGATATTTAGTTGAGTCCCCAGGGGAAACTAAATTGATTTGCAAATAGGTGTATTTCTCGAAAACAAGGGAGCTGTTTGATGTTCAGGCACCATAGCATTGAGGACAGTCGGGGGAACTTACACTGTTACCCTTCCGTCAGAAATTCCTCTGTTTTTACTTCAAAAGTCCAATACCGAGAGAGACGACCAAACAAAAAAGTGCATTGGAAACTAATCGAAATACGGAATGCAAGGGGCGAGCAAGGACGATAAGTCGAACCTAAATGCACAATTTAGATGAAATTTGCGTGAAATCACAGCGGTAAAACTAAGAAATCGTATAGTACTTGACTGTTGACACTAGAAAGTGACTAAGGTGACTAAGTTGAGAAACCTCAGCAATATGCCTGCAGAAATATTAAAACACTCACCTATCTCCGTATGTGTAGTCGGTTCTTTCGTGTCTGAAGCGGTCGGACAGAAACGGAAAAATAAAAGTTAAAAAGTCCCAAAATAAAATAGTAAAACAGTCAGCATGGCACTAGTTAGTCCGAGAGAGGTTAATAAAAACAGCTCTCCTGGTCTTGCACTTCCGAAACGGATGTGAATAAGTTATCAGGTTGAGAAAGGGAATCCAAACGGAAGAGGTATACGGGAACGTCGGTCTTTGAATTCCAAAGTGGACATTCCGGATGTTAAACGAGGAAACAAATGGAAACAAAGTGAGCTAACACAGTAAACTTCGTCTATCATTTGACATTCAAATGTTTATCCAGTCAGTTGAATGCTCTCTTTCCGGGTGAACAGACAGCGCCATGATGCATGTTGGTTTGTTCGCTGAGCTGGAGAACTTGGTCGCAAACGCTTTATCAATAATGGGGACGACATTTCCTATGCGTTGTGCTCGCTACCGTAGTGCGGTCACCAAGGTAGGGAGGAAAGAGCTACAACGTGGCAACCACAGCCTATGAGACCTCGCGGGTGCGAACATGTGTTGCGACTTGGTACTGGAAGAAAACCGTTCTCGCACAGTGGCCGCTCAGTATTCCCACAATGGAGTTGAACTTTCGAAAGTTATGTATGAGACCTGTGTGAACATGTGTTGCGACTTGGTACTGGAAGAAAACCGTTCTCGCACAGTGGCCGCTCAGTATTCCCACAATGGAGTTGAGTTGTCGAAAGTTATGATCTGTCCCTGAT